ATTTGTCAGAACTGTAACAGTTGAATCTGCTTATGGTCTATTGAAATTGAAATTGGCTTAATATGCATCTTAATCACTAGCACCACTGTGCAGTAGTGTGTTGTCAGTTAGTCAGTAGCCTCTGCAATGACATCATATAAGGGAAGCTTAATGTTGCAGTTTGTACTGTTGTGATGTCATTAAAACGTGCACATGCCATGAATCATGATTATGCACTCTGTAACTACAACACAGCATGACATATGAACTTCAAAAGCAAGGAATAAAAGTATTTATTATTCTTAATTTTGGTTTTATTTACTCTTGAAACAGAGGAGACCCTGCAGGAGTACATCTAGTCTAAAACATATTTTGTAAACCAGAATATTTAATCATGGCCTTTTGATTTCAAAAACAGTGCATATTCTTCCTTGGACTTCTGTTTTCTGATCTACCTCTATTTCCATTGTTTCATCCCCCCTTTAAATTGATCGACACAACAATTGACCATCTTGCCTGGAAGGTGTACTTTCAATGATTCATGGCCGGATATAGAAGTGTACAAGTCATTGTGATAAAGAATAGTAGCAGTCTACGTCTAACTTCAACATTATCATACCTAGTGTTTCATTTTTTTAAAGTAATTTTCTTTTAAAAGATTCTATTCAAACACAAGTGGTCAAAATACTTAAACATTATGTAGAGCATTGATTCGTGTGGTCAATACAGCTAACCAGATAGAATGTTTTAATTTGGAGAATATCCTCAAAAATTCATTCCTTTTATTCTTGAAAGTCCTAGAAAATCTTTGAATTTTGTGCTAAAGTGCATGAATTCTGTTTAAAGGATGTACGCTTAGCAGGAAGGGTATCGAGAAAAATATACAAATATAATTAAATCAAAAATAACAAAATATTAAAATGACATTCTCATGGCTTTTCTACCCAGCTTGTGAGTTGCAAAGTATATATATATTTTAGGTAAGTAAGTTAGCATATCAAACAGCTTCAAGTTTGCAAGTACAATGATTTAACAAACAATAACCCACTGAACAGAGATACCTCTACAGCAGACATGTCAAAAGTTTAATCCTTAATCTTGTAGCTTGTATTGTGCCCCACAGATCCCTAGTTTAAAAAAAAAAAGTTATATTTACTACTTGTAACTGTATTTGAAAATCATTTTGCCAAGTCATCCACACTGCTAAAAGTTCACACTTAGTTTCATACCATTGGCATTAAGAATATTATTACAATACACATTGGACCAACTAAACTATTTAGAGGTGATTAACATTGAAAGTTTGCAAACAGTTGATTTTTAATTCTCTATAGAATTTTTCACCTACTGGCATGTTGTGGTTTGTTGGCATCTCTCGATGTTTCTCACATGCTCCGATCACCACTGACACTGTTGACTCGTTTGCTAACTTGAGCTGACAATCAATCATGCACTCTTTAATCTTGGTGACAGCATTTCCTTCTTTTGGTGAATCTGACGAGTTGTCTTCATTCTGTTTCTTCTGGCAGCAGAATCCATGGTGACAGTCACTCTTTTCTTGTTTCCTGCCAGCACCTGCTTGCAATGTGACCCATTTTATTACAAGCATAGCATCCCTTCTCCTTTTTATCTGTTGACTTCATGTCACCTTTGATGGTTTGCTGCTTCTGGTTAGCCACCCCTGGTTTCAACTTTGACTGGTTATTCTTGGACTTGCCAGTTATGCTCCCTCCATGGGCTTCCATTTACTGTTCTGCTAGCTTGATTATCTCGTCCACATATTTTGGTGCTCTCTCTTTCAGGAACAATGATATGTCAGTGAAGCACGTAATCGTGAGCTGTTTATGTATTAGTAGATCTGCCAGTCCTTCAAACTATGTTCACACTTGGCAATGTTAGTCCATCTTGTGAAATATTGCCATAGATGTGTCACAAACTGAGATACAGTTTTTCTGGTGTCAGGTTTGACTTCTCTGAACTTCTGGCAAAAAACCTTCTTCAGTAAGTTCATAGCATTTCAGCAAGGCCACTTTTAACTTGTCATGTCCACATACACTTGTAGGCCTTTTCCTGTAAGAATGGAGCTAAAACAGAGTGCCCAGTTGCCTTTGGCCCAGTTCTAACTTTGGGCAAATCTTTCATACCTTACCAGGAATGCATCCATATTGTCTTTTTGTTCATCAAATTTTGGCAGCTTGGGTTAGCTGGCCCTGACCCCTTTGTCATTTTTTGGGTCTTATGTCTTTCTGTTGGGGTGAGCTTGGCAATCTCAGTTTGTGCTTCTATTCTCTCTATTTCCAGTCTCTCCTTTTCTTCTTTCTCAACTTCTATTTCATGCTCATATTCTTCTTTCAATCTTTCTTCCTCTCTTTTCTGCCTGTGCTCTCCTCTCTCTAGGTGTCGTTGTTGTTTAACAATCTCTCGTAGATCATCTTTAAGCCCAAGTTGCTTGTCTCTCTCTCTCTATCCACTTATCAAAGTCAGTTGACATGGTTATATGGTTGACATGGTGTGGTTGTGACATCCACAATATTTTTGCCATAATTACAGCTGTGAATATATAGGCCTATTTGCCGCTGTTGTTTATGT